TGTTTGAAAGTTTGGTCGATCAGCTCCCTCTCCACCATTCGTTCGATGATTTGGCGAATTAGTGGGAACGGATTGTACGTTAAGGCTTAACCTCAAGCGTTCAATGGCTGGGTCGATTATTTGGGAAACTTGATTACTCTCTATTATATTAGGGTTAGTGTTCGCACGGTTATTGTGGCCTGCATTTCCATTTCTTCTGGATCTATTCCTACCCGAATTATTTCGCGATATGTTGTTGTCGTTAGCCTGTACTGAATCATTTAAATTTAATAACAACGGCGAACCACGTGCACTGTTGGCTGCCGTCTCCTGCCTGAAACCGCTAGTTTCATTATTTTGTCTTTGTCTTGCAAATCTGGTATAATATTTGGGCACGGCACCCCCTCTGCTTCGATAATCCGGTGGCGGAATTGAACCCACTTCTTCGTTGCCAATTTCCGTTCTGATGTTAATTTCGCTTAGCTCTCGCAGCTGACATGAACGTCTGCAATAGGGACGTTCTTGGAATGAAGCTAGCCAATGTGTAATACACTCTTTATGGTAGCAATGATTACACAGAGTTTTACAGCATTCCTGTCCAGCTTCTAAATTTTGTTGACATATCGTACATAGCGTGGTATCTACCTCTGTTACTTCGTTTGGAAGAGTTAAATCTTCGTTGCTGTGAACGAGAGCCATTGCTAGTTATATGTTATTAGGATTTGCGTATTAATTTTACCGGATAATCCCAATATAGTACGAAAAGTTTATAGACAAAAAAAAGTTTTCTTTTTTCCCAGATAATAACTATTATTTGCATACTTTCTCTTCGTGGAAATTCCGTGAAGGGTAGGTTATTTTGCGGTGGAACTAGAAACCAAACCAAAAAAAAAATGTGCTTGGGCTATTGTTTACGAATGCTATGCTATTTTAGTCTCAGATTAAGGAAATATCAAAGCCGGACTAAATTCTGCACCAAAGGCTAACATTTAGTAATTCCGTTGCTAATAATTGCCTTTATCAGACCATATGAGTTTATTTTCCTTTTATATACGTTGGACGCATACGCAAGGAGAACAAGGTTGATAGTTTGATCCCATTTAAAACCCAGAAGTGGCTCAAAGAGGCCAATCGGTCGATATCTGCTGGGTCTTCAACACGCCCCGTAGTCGAAAGTCCAGAAAGGCTTTAAAGCTTATCCCAACACCCTCCTTTGCAATCAAACACAAAACTTATGCTAAAATAAAAATAATGCTAAACTTAGATAAAACGAAAAGATAGGAGGATTAAAGTTCATGAAACGAGACTAGCCAGTTGTGGAACTTTAGCGATGTCCCACGTTGGGCGCCATTTTGTAATGTTTATATTTTTTTAATTTTTGATCATGAGTAATCAAATTTGGTAATAGCTGGACTAAATTCGGATAAAAAGGTTGGTTTCTGCATCAGTGTTTACGGGGACAAAGAGGTTCAGCTCCTGGTGCCCCCTTGCCCAGGCCTATGAGAAAAAGTCTATCGGGACCCGTCTAAATGGCTAACAAACAGGGGTCAGGGGGGGGGGGTTCGCGACCTTTTCTCTCAGCGTAGTTCACATTACTTTTCTATTACAGAGTCCCAGTCTAGTTAAATCACAAAAAAAAAATTTATCTGACCAATCTTCCCATCAAGAAATTGGAAACTATAGAAATTCTACTTACCAAACGAGACATTTCTTCTTTGAATTTTGGTACTTCCGCCCTTTCCTAGGCGCTAAGTTAGAATGGCACCGGTGCTTCACGACCCGCCCTTTAATCCTTCGGTGAGCTTATTTTTTTTTTGAAAGATCCCTACTAAAAGGTTACCCACCCTATCACATCATTTCCACTGAAAGTATACTATGTTTAGAAATTCATATCATTAGTTAACGATTCGTTATTTTATTATTTCATAGTTCTTAAAAACACTTTTACAATTAATCAGAAAACTATAAATCTATTTCTTAGGGATATAAATTATATTGTAAGTTCTTCTGCCTTATATCTTACACGCTTATCTGCCTATATGTATGCTTTTATTTTTGATTTGAAATTTTCAAAGGTTTGATAGTGTGCGATCAGCTACGCGATCGTTGAGCAAAGAGACACTCAAGATCTAGTATTCCGCGATACCCTGCTTTCAACCCCTTTTCTCCTAACAATTACTGCTAAAAATTCATATAACTATCTCTGCAATAATAATTTAAATTTTTAATTTTTTTCTACTTTACACCGCAACCCCTAACCTTTCTTTCAGGCTGCACGCGCATATAAGTGTATATATGTAAAAGCGATCATACGAATATACATATCTTAAGCTTTCTTACGCATCAACAAACATCAACGAACCGCGTATGTAACCAACAGCATGGAACACTGTTAACAGCTCACGTCAAACGACTTAACTTTACATAAATTGGCAACCATTAAGTTCGTTGCTACAACAACACCAACCAGCACATGTCCAATATGTTAATTATCTGTACAAATTCCGCGAGTGTAGCTATGTTACACAAAGCGTTAACAGAGGCGTGAGCTGTTAGCAGGGTGACATGCTGCAAAAAAATTCTTCAATACTCTTGAGTGCTTTACGGTATGTGTGTGGATGAGTACAACCAGGAGAATAGAAATAGAGAGAGTTAGATAACTTACCAATACATGCATTCCATCGTTGAAAGGCCCTTCATGTGCTGGTGATGCTGTATGGAGATAATTATAACTCTGATGTACTCCTCACTAGGGTGTACGGCCTATATTTTCTTCGCTGTGGTTTCACTAATAGCAAACTTTTGATAATTTCCAACCCCTATAATAAATGCGGATTTGCTTCAACATGTGGTTATGCTTTTAATGCCTTCACTAGCCTGGCGTTATAACTCACACCAGCCTGATTAACCCGGTTTTCATTACTGCGATCGCTGATCATCACCCTGTCCGTCCGTTTGTCTGCACGTCCGTCCGTAATCTACGTCACTATTCACAAATTTCTTCTTTTTTCTTACAATTTAATATTTAATGGTTTTTTTCTTATACAAAACTTCCTGATGTTTTTTTTTTTAATTTTTTTTAATTATTTGTGGTTTTCACTCCCTCTCAGCTATATGTTGGTTTGTTTTTGTGACGTTTACCGTAATTTTTTTAATTTTTTTTTATTCAGTTTATAATTAATACCGCTCAGAGATTTGTTTAAATGTTTTTTAATTTTCCAGGTTTTCTTAAAATTTTTTTTTTACTTTTGGCTATTTTATAACTTAAATTTGACTTTAAGCTCTTCCACGTGAATACTTTATTTCTCACTATTCCTTTTTTTTGTTACCGCCACCTACGATGACCGGCGTGACTTTGCCGTTAGCGAAATAGCGTAGTGATGCTTTTGGTGCCGAATGCTCTATAAAGAGTACTGGTAGTGGAAATTTGGACACCAGTTTGGACACCAGAAAAGTGGTTCCATTTCACCACAACACAAACAAAAATAACACAAACAAAAATAACACTGACAAAAATAACACAAACAAAAATAACAGAACCAAAAATAACACAAACAAAAATAACACAAACTAAAATTACACAAGCAAAAATTATAATCCTCACCCAACCGTCTTCTGGTTGCTTGGTTTTTTGTCATCTCCTTTTATGCGGTCATTTATTTGCTTGGTTTGGCACTTTGCACTTTGTTGCACCCAGTCAGTGCATTAGGTAGGTGAATATTAATTCGCCGAAATAGAAGGTGACAATTTGGTGTATTCAATAGCGCGAATGAGAGCACAAAGCATGTTGCCCGAGCACGAGCAACTCGGTGCCCTTCCTCTTTCCTCGTCGCCCTATCTTCGCGGCAACAAAAGTTTCCGTGTCTAACCTAGACTATGCAATTGCCTAGCGCATCACATTTCTCTATCGCACTACGGAGTAGCCAATATATATTATGCGCTAAACAACATAAACTCAATCACTCACTCAACCACTTTTTTAAGAGTATATATCACTTTAATAATGCCGCGGCAGTTATTTTCACTTAAAATTTTGTTCTATGTAGAGCCATATATTTTTCTGTATGCAATCATACATACGTATGTATGTACATACATACATATATGTATATGTTTGTATGATTTCGACTAAGAAATAACAACAATTGGGAACCAATACAGCCGGTGACCGTCTGCATAACCTCGCCCGTAGTGATGCCATAAATACAGCTATGGTCACAGAAGTTTGAAATGTTGATGACAGTTTTTCGAATTTTGACAGAAAATAAAGCGAGAAAGCTGTTTTATTACTTCGCCAGTTTCTTGCGCCATGATTTCGGTAATATGTAGATTGAATTATATTAAAAACAAATAATAAACATAAGTTGCAAACAAAATTATTTCAATATTGGTGCTAAATCTATGGCCATAGCTGTATGTAGTTGTGTTATGCAC